GATAATGGAATGATAATTAAATAAAGACAATCACTCCAATTAAAATGCTTCCATATCAATCATATTTTCATTTCAATTTGAACTACTCTAATTATATTTTGGTACTATAAATTTATAAAATAATATAATAAAATATAATATAAATATATTTAATTCCTGTAAAAGCTCTGAGCTAAATTTGAAAAATTTTTGCCATAGAGTCACATAACCGTAGAAATACACGTGGTTTCAATAAAACTACCTGAATGAAGTTTGCTTCTCCAGGAAATAAAAGCATAGTCTTGGAGCTCCGAAAAGAAAGCAACAATCCACTGAGCTATTCTAACGCTAATTTAAGAAAATCTCAAATTGAAGATGGGAAGGAAAGGCTAATTTTATCAAACTCAGTTATGATGAATTTAGTAACTTGATGCTAAAAGCTAAAAAATATAAAAGCTTTCATGCTTGATTTATTATAAAGATTTAAAATTATGAAAAAAATTATTTAGGTTCTCATTCTATAAAATATATAAAAATTTAGCGCGTAATTAATAAAATTAATAAAATTTTTAATTATTAGCTTACGGATTCCATTACTTTTATTTTTTACTTATTGCTTAATTCAACAGTGAAAAGATTCTTGTCTCAAGATTCGATTCTTGCTTAAAAAAGCGGAATGATAAATACAAATATTTTTTAAGGATAGAATTTTAGAGTCAAAAAAATAGACATCTATAGAGCGCATTGAAAGGCATAGCTGAGGAGATATCACACAGAACCCTCAAATACTCAGTTCTCTGGTAGAGGAGTCTTCGTTAACGATGATATACATATATATATATAACAAATTTGCTAGGGATTAAACGAAATAGATTACATTATTACATATCAAATTTTCTATTCTATAACAACGTCAATATTTAATCTGAAAATTACTATTTGAAGCTTTCGAGATCTTTTAATGATGATTAGTGACGATCGAAAGAGATTAGAGGTAAACATTTTTAATAAATAATTTTACACTTAAATTTATTAAATGCAAATGAAAAGAATCAAAAACATGTCAAAGAAATTTTTAAATTCGACAATATCGTTAAATTCATTTTTGAAAATGGTAGAATAAATTTAAAAATAAATTTTTCGCAAAATAAATTTACTTAAAGTAAATCGATTAAGGCGCTTTTGTCATCAGTAATAAGTTTTTCCTTTTCCTCAAAGTGGCCAAAAAATCGGCTTCAAAAAATTAAATAAAAATAAATAAATAAAAAATACAATAAAAAAGATTCGATATCTTCATTTTTTTCATAAAATATAAAAGATAATAGCAAAATACTGCTTCAGTTAAAAACATGCAACATGAATTCGATTATTGGTCCATTGCATTAAATAGAAAGCACAACATAAAAAGTGCAAGGAACCGACCAATTTGCATTCTTGTCCACGGACAACGGACAAAGTATTCCCTTTCAGGTAGTTAGCAGTTATAATAAATAATATTAGAAAAAGTAATTAATGTATCGTTAAACACAATTTCTTCATTTATATTAATATTTAAAATATTATTCTAAAATTATAAAAACGATCATTACGAAAATTTTTTCAAAATATCGTTTGGATGTCGCCTGCTTGCTCCTCACTTCGAGCCTCGAGTAATTATTAACTCTGACTAGAGGAAATGGCTATATCACTGTGGTGCTCCGGATAACTCGAAGCAAAATGGTAGCGATGTTTGAAAAAGCCCAATTCGCTTTGATTGAATGGAAACCGATAAGCGATCGTATGGCCTATGCCCGTTTTAAAGGTAAGTTTTGTAATAGCTCGGTCAGTATTTATGCTCCAACTGTCTGACCGTGATAAAGTAAGTTTTATGCGGAACTTCAACTGTTAGCAACATCTCTACCGAAAGGTAGAATGGTTATAATAGGGGAGACTGGAATGCGCGGGTAGGTCATGATACCATTACGATGAATTCGGTTTTCGTTTAGCCGAACAAGATGAGCTCTTTGTTACTTACTAATACAAGCTTCCGACATTAGAGAAGACATCTAGTCACATGGAACTCTTCCGATAACCAAAACATCAGCCAGATTGATTATATCTTAGTCAATCGTCGTTCAAAGAATTCCCTACTTAGTCGATCCTAACGCGGCGCTGAAACGAGCAACCTTTATGGATCTGACAACGAGTGGTGGTTCGAGCTAAGACCGGCATGAAACTTTCAACTAGTAAAAAACAGCATCTCCCAAGATCCTTTAATTATCTTAAACTATAAAATTCGGGAACAGAGAGCGCATTTCAAACCAAATTATTGAAGCACCTCAATGACACAAATATCAATTTTTTTTGGAACGGCAAATGAATACTGGTGCAAACTAAAGGAATGTCTCTGAAAATCAGCCACTTCTACGCTAGGGCATACTAGTAGGAAATAGTAGGAAATGTGCTAGTTGGATATTGGAAGCAACTGTCCAATTGTCTGAAAAAGCTGTCAAAGCATAAATGTCAGGAGATCTTGATTACCAGATATTTCAAGGAATTGCAAAGATAGCAGCACGGCGAGACAGAAATCACTGTTGGAGCCACATGGCCTTGAGAATGGAGACTGCAACTCGATTAGGCGATAATAGGAAATTATTCTGCTTTCTTCATAAAACAACTGCAATTTGAGGAGTGATCAGTAAAATGTTAAGGGACAGCAATAGCTTGCCTGTTAAAAGTATGAAGAGCCGCATTATAAGATGAAAGGAATTCTTTTCATATACCTTGGGTCCACTCTAATACCAAATATACAGGTAAAAGATGATATCACAACTCGGATCACGACAGCTAGAAATGTGACGAGACCTTTATGGAGTCGTCGTGAAATCACCATAAACACGAAAGTTCGCATCTATATTGCCGTGATCCGCTCGATTTTGCTATATGGTTCTGAGACATGGCCAATGAGAGTGGAGGATATTAAGAAGTTATCTGCCTTTGACCACTCTTGTCTAAGGTACATATTACGGATTATCGCCGAGTGGATAAAATCTCACTACATCGCATCCACCTTCGTTCAAATACCACTTGCATAAATAATATTATCACAGAGCGCCGCCTTCGCTGGTTAGGGCACATTCTCCGTCGTCCACCACACGAGTTGACGCATATTTCGTTATTTGCTAAACCGTGTAACGATTGGCGTCAAAAGCGAGGTGGGCCAATCAAGACCTGGGCTGATATGGTGAGAAAAGATTTTGAACGTATAGGTAGACCAGCAATATATGGACTTAGACGATGGAAAAAGGAATGGCTTCCATTACTGTNTTGAAGCCAGCTTAAGCTGCAATGGTGAGGACTGTTAGAAGAAGAAGAAGACCATTGCTAGTTGGACTCGCTCGTTTGGCTTATCGCATTAGACGAATACATCTCTCAGAGAGTCCCTTAGCGATAAATGTGCAAGCGAGTATCAACCGGACACCCGCGCTCCATTTCCTAAAATCATTTTAGAATTAACTGATTTATCCCTCTTAAGCATTTGTTATTATAAAAATCCCTCTGATCGATGGAAACTCTTAAGCAAAAAATTTTTCCTAATAATCGTTAGTGGAATAAATCAAATCAAAAATAGTCACATACTTAATTAATTATTTATTTTAATATTATTATATTTCATAATACGTTTATATTATTTAATATTATAATTATATTATTAAATTTTTTATATTTTCATATTTAATATAAACATTAATATTATAAAAAGGATATTTTTTATAATAGAAATATTTTACAAAAATATCTTTGTTAAAAAGAATAAAAAATTCTTTTTAAATTAAAAAGCTATTAATTTTGACTGTTTTTATGATTTTTGACATGGATTATTAAGTGATAAACATTAAAAAATGATACCGTCGCAAGAAACGCGGCCGGCGTTATATTAATGAACCGCGGGCCGCGAATGGGATGAATGTGATGATTAGAGTTCAAAAGCGTTGCCAAGTGTTGCAATATGTTTACAATTTTTTTCTTCAATTATGTTTAATTTTAGGTTTACTGAATTCAAATCTTAATAGATCCATAAAAAATAAAATTAAGTGGTCGCTATGCGAGGATTTTTCGAATTATTTCACAAGAACTACAGAACATTTTTATTGTGCAGTTCGGTATTGGATTTATTAGATTTGAAAAATCTTTGCCGAGCGGAGGGAATCTCACCGCTGCAAAGCCCTTCGTTCAGACGCCACTCGCGTTAAAAGTACCATCACGGAGCGTCGCCCCGCTGGGCGCCGCACAGGAATTGGCACACATTTCGTGAACCTGTGTGGGGTGGCGTTAAAAGTGAGGAGGGCCAGTCACGAGCTGGACTGGCACGGTCAGGAAAGAGTGGACTTAGACGATGGAAGAAAGAGTCAGTCCGGATCGAAGAGCTCCTACCCTTGCAACTGGCTGCGCCTGTCTAGCCAGTGATCGTGAATGATCCGTTATAAGAGGAAGGATTCATTGGCCTTGGCTTATACACTGCATGGAGCTTGTCAAGTAGCTTTACAGTCTCGCATCCATACGCAATTCTTATTTAGAGTGATCTTATCGATGAATGATAAAAATCAGAGCAGACGAAATGCGTGAGGCAGCTGTAGTATAGAACAATAATAATCGTCATTTATTGCTGACGAAGTGCCGAAACCACAGCAGAAGACGAGCTGAGAAGGCAGTAGGTATTGTACATATAAAGATTAAGTGGCGTAGGTAATTACGGAAACACTACGAAGGTGGGAAAGAATAAAAGGGTCTTTGAAAAGATTCACTGAAAAGGAACATGTGCATAGTTCTCACCTGCATATGATCGGCATAGCTAATAGATTTCTGTATACGCAGATTTTGCTTTCCGCTTCGACTCAACCGACTCTTCCAGCAGATACGCTCACCTGCGGACCAATAATCTTGGTCCTCGTTATCATTGGAATTTCATATTGATAGTATTGTATTGCTAGATTTGTTTTGTCTTTTTTTTGTCGATAATAATGATATTTTTTGGATTGCAGATGTTTAATGTATTAATAGAATGTCTAAGGTTCGCGTACATATTTCTTGAAATTATTCTTAAATATGCAACTCGGCCATTTTTACTATTTAAAGATTTCTATGAAGAACGAAGAAAGCTATCGTTACGTATACCTAATCATATTGCTGTACTTTACACCGAACAGTCAGCCATCTGTATGGTTAGTTTTCATAATGCTTGAATAGGCCTATTTCCCCATGGAAAGCCTCATGAGATTCCCGGGAAAAGAACTTAAAAAAGAACCAAATGGAAAAAAGCTTTAGTTGGTCAGATGATAGCGTAATGGCATAAGTTATGATAGTTTGGTTCATGTAACATGAGGTTAACAAGGGGTAATGAATAACAATTTCAAAGATCAAATTTATTGTGAAATACAAAAGAAAGTAAAATGTGTGGAAGATTGAATTATTGAGAAAATGGAACTTTGTTATGTCACGTAGTTCATTTGTGTTCCACATTGATTTACCAATGTTCACTCAAAAATTTGATAAATTTTTCCTTCTTTATAAGTTAATTCTTTTTTTTATTTTTCAATGAATTCGATTTCCTTCTTTTTGGAGAAATATGGTACTCCCTTCTTATCTGATACTTTGTTAAATCGACGTATTGGTAGGGAAATTTTGCATCGATGGAAAAGAATATTAAGGTGAATGTATCTAAAAAAGAACAAAATGGAAAAAGAAAGCAAGCATGAGCGTGTCAGACGAAATATCAGATAAAATTGAAGTACCAGGTTTGTATAAATACCAGTGGTTATACATATTTACATATATCCTATTTTTTTCGTTTATAAACTCTTATAGTTATCTAAAAAATTTGGCATAAGTTGTGAAAGTCTTGGCATTTTTTGGCACCTGTAAATTTTCCATTTTTCAGGAAATGCTTAGTGATTTAATATTGCATTGCGTTTCGGTAGGTATAAAAAAGATAAGTATATATGATCCTTGGTCATTCGTGGCATCTAATAAAGATTTATTGGCAAGAAAGGCTACTGTAAAAGTGAGCAAAGTTAATCCAAAATTGGTATCGTTTATTCATTTCGTCACTAAGATGGATATCTTGCAATCTGATGTATCCGGTCTTGCTGTAATATTACTTGGAAAGGATTCAGGTCGAGAGACATTGGTCAGTGTTTGTCGCAAAGTATGTTCATTCATATTTTCTTTGTTCGTTTTAAAATTTTTTTATAATTTTAAATTTTAAACAATTTTAGATGTGTGTGATTCACAATCCTTCTGCTATAACCGTTGGAAAAATCGGGAAAGCTTTTGCTGATGAAAATGTTTTTGAACCAGATTATTTACTGCGAATTGGGTCAGTTAAATCTATGGCTGGTTTCCCATCATGGGCTTTAAGACTCACTGAAATCATCTCAATAAAAAGATTAAAAGGACGCATGACACAGGATTATTTTTTAGCCTTATTGAATGATTATAGTAATAGAGATATACGACGTGGGCAGTAATTATGATCTGATTTTTTTTTTCAAGCAAGATTAATTTAATGAAAACTTCAAATTTCATATTAATGTTAACAACATGTTAACTTAGCTGGAAAAAAGGTTAAGAATCTTTTAAGTCCACTTTTTAAAGTGATTTATTTGATAAGATTTTATTATTAATCACGTTATGTTTAAAACTTCGTCAACTCAACTTGTTGATTATTTATTTATTTAATTTTTTCTGTGTTAAATATATTAGCTAGCCATTAATGTAATTCCATTCTTATTTTTTGGGTTGAACTTTGAAATATTTATAATGGTATATTTCTAATGACAATGTTTAACTACAGGTATATTTCTGTTTTATTTGAAAATTGGTGGTTCTTGTGATTTGGTCGTTTTAGTGGTCATTTTTGGTTTATGATCATATGAAATTTCATGTTTTTGCAATGAACTTGTTTGCTATTTAGAAGGAAATTAGGCATAATTTTTATAATAGCAACATTAATGACATTAATCTATTCATTTTATCGTTTAATATTTGTTATTTAATAATATTAGTCAACATAATATAAAATTATGTTTTTTCCGATGCTGTTATGATTCTTCTTTATTTATTTCACTGTTTATTCAATGTCATTCCAAGTGATGAACTAAATTTATTATTTGTTTGTTTTTTGTTGATTGTTTTTATTATTTATATATTTCATTTTATTAATGTTAATTTATCGAAAAATTGTCCATTCATCACTTTTATCACCGTTTTAGGAGTATAATGGTTGTTGATTCTTATTTTGCTTCGATTCGACTAATGCGAGTAATGTAGATTCGCCTGTGACGCGAAGAATGAGGATGAAAATGAAAATTGAAATGGCTGGACGGCCACTTGTATTTATTTCCTTTCTTTGTTTTGTGAAAGGACCCCACCTTAATAGTCGGTAGAGCCTTAATAGTAGAGCGAGGTGACCGTCTTGAAATTGTGTTCTGTTAGAAGGACATGAAATTCTAGATAATGGACAGAATAGAGTGAATATGGATTCATGGTGTGTTATTCACTTTTCTGGTAAGCTCGCTCCACTGATAATTACATCAGTAGGATGTAATTTTGCTAGAGAATCAATCATTTGGGGATCGCACTACAGTTGAGTCCATCATCTCCCGTATTTTTAACAATTGTTTTTAAAAATTATTTCTCTTTTGTCACAAGCAAGGGCCATGTTACATGACCATGTTGACAATATACATTCTGGTTTTAACGAAATCAAGATGCGGTATAAAATCAAATAAGACAGACTGTCTTTAAAGTCATTTTATGGGAAATTCTTCGATATTTTTCTAAGTTCTTCTTTATATAATACAATTTCATTGGTAATAAAAAATTTCCTATTTTCAAATTCATTTTCTAAATGATTCGTATCAAAAAAAAATTTTTATGTTCTATTAAATATTCGAATTTAAAATTTGAATTTCTACTAGGGGAGATTTTTTTCATATTTTCAGAATATTTTATTGGTTTCCAGAAAATGAATTGGCTTGGATTTTTTCAATTATTGTATTATTAAGAATTTCGGCAAATTCAAATTTAAAAATGGAATTTATTATTCGATTCTATTGAGAAATTCGCGATAAAAATATGGGCTAACGCTGTATAAAATGAACGGTTAGAGATATAAAAATTTTTATCCACGATTTGACACATAGAAGACTGATAAGAAAAGTGGAAATCAGTTCTTTTGAACTGGGTTTCAAGGTCAACGAGTTAGTCATCATTTTCTCATTGCTACTTAAAATTAGCGATTAATTTTACAATCTTTTATTACTTTTTGGTTTCCGGAATCTTGGGTTATGAACTTTTTAGTTTCCTTTTTAGTTGGCGATAAGAATGACATTTTGGAAATTAAATATTTCAGCGGATGCTCGATAATTGTTTCTTTTTCATATGGCAAATATCATAAATTTGCTATTGTCTATTTGTTCAGATTAGGTTTTTTTCGTTTTCTTTTTTAAAACCTATTTATTCAATGTTATATGTTTTCATTTTTTATATTTAGTGATCTGTTTTTTGTGAATGAATACGACCTTCTTCATTTGATGGTTTTCGACCGATCGTCGGGATGAAATCTCTTCGCCGGAAAATCGCTCGACGACCAACATTTTGACCATGTATTATCAATATTAAAGATTTTCGAGATCAGTTTTGTTTATATTTCATTAAGATTGGAATATTTTTTAGCGAAAAGTTAAATTATGTGGAATATTTTTTAATGAATTATTAAAAAATATATTTTACGAAAATATTTATACAACATTATATATATATATATATATATATATATATAATATATATATAATAATAATATATATATATATATATGTAATATTGCGATACTTGTCTGGTTCGATAAGCTATTAAAAAAACGAGGCACATGCAACCCTAAAGATTCAGTTCCTCATTCTTTTATTATTTACTTTGCTATTTAATTAAGAAATAGAAAGATACGAAGAAAATAAGTGAAATATTCTGCTTTTTTTTGCGAATAATATTGAGTTTATTCTAAAATATTTGTAAAAATTTAAAAAATATTTTTTATGAAAAGTCATTAAATTTCTAAAATTTAGTTAATGAAAAGATTTGCCTCCGTTCTTTTTTTTAAATAATCTTTTCAAAATAACAAAAATTATTTAAGACGATTGGAACAATTGTTTAGGCCGCGTTTCTTACGAAATTCTGGTTTTTTTTTTATGACGAAATTTGTGACATTTTATTATTTATTTTATTTAAAATATTATTTAAAATATGCAAAGTTTATTTTTTTAATTTATTATTAACGGTTTTGAATAATTCATTAAAAATAATTATTTATAAAAAATCGCTATTGTTTTTTATTACAGATTTTTTTGATTTTTATTTATCTATATTTTTGATTGGTTTAAAACTATTTTTATTGTTATTTACATAAATATTAAAGTAATAGTGAATTTTTGAAAATAGCGTAGCTTCGATTCCCGTTTGTTTATAAGAGTTTAAATCAAATAAAGGAATCCAGATGGCTGCTGGTTAGTTGCTTCTGTGTCACCTAATGTTTTTCTCGCGAAAGACCCTCTTTGATGATTGTAATAGCGATTTTAACAGATAAATTGTATTATACTCTGGTACTTCTTTGGTCATGGTGGTTCTTTTTTTGCGTTACCACACTGTAACATGGAACTTAGTAAGGCTAAACTTAAATTAATAAAGGCTTATTTTTTTAAAAAGAGTATCTTTAAAGTCTCTATTCGCTTATTTGTTTTAAAAAAATATTGAGCATTCATTTCTGGTTAAGCTTCTTGTGTTACTATGGTAAATAATTTTTTGCTAGGTAGACAACTGGCGTTAGGTCGAACCTTCTCGTAAGGTTTTCAGTTCAAAGAGTGAGTAAATTATCACTATGAATTGCAATGAACTGCCTCTAACTGGAGGCAGTAAAGTTTTCTGACACCACAGACTGGTATTGCTGGTTCAAGTCAGCTAACTGTTAAGGTGAAAATTTTATGCAGGCGAGTCATTTGGACATAGTGGTACCAAGGGGTATAAATTAGGCATCGTGGCCACTCGAATTTATTAATTTGTGGGAAGGCAAATCGTTCTGTTTTGATTTCAATTTTAAAAAAAACATTTGTCTTCATGTGTTTTGTTAGTTTTATAAGTTTACGCTTTTAGATAATCGTTTTATCAGGCAATTTTTTCTTAGATAATCAATGATAATGCCACTTTCATTTTCAGATTATTGTCAAGTTTTTGCTAATCTGATTGGTTCACTTTTTAATGGGATTATTAACAAAAGGTACTCCGTTATCATGGAAGGAAATTATTCCATATGTCGACTATATTAAGGTTGATATCTTTTCATTTCAAATTTTTGTTTTTTTCTGATACCCCCTACCATTTCCGATTAGACTGGCTTTGCAACGGGTCGTTTGCCTTCGCCGTTTAGTAAATTCATTTTAACCCGCTAAGAATAATATAAGTATGTTGCGGGGTCTGCTGACGGCAGATTAAAAGGAAAATGAGAATGGCTTTTTGCGAAGTGTGCCTTTATTTCTGTTGCCAAGTGAATTTTTGAATATTTCCTTCAAGGCTATCATAATCAGCCATAATCAGCCAAATTAGAGACGGTATTTTTAAATTTAAATAAGATCAATGTTTCTTTCAATTTTTGGCATTTAATAGTCATTTAGACTATATGATTTATCTTTTAGACTTTTATTGACAAGTTATTTCGAGTTAAGAAGAATTCTCAATTAAATGAAAGACGTCTTCTATGTCGAAATAATATTTAATAATAAATACTATTTATTATTTATTAAATATTATTTAATAAATACGTATTTATTTATAATTTAATAAATATATATTTATTTAAATACTTATAGTTCTTGAAGTAATGATATTAAATGTTTGCTTATTAAATGAATCTTCTTACTGAACTTTCAATTTTTTTATTCTCATTACATCTTCCTTAGTGTTTTTTTAAAATAAAAATATATAAATATATATATATATATATATAAAAATATAAAAATATATAATATATTTAGTGGACTTTTAAAATTAAGGAACATGGTATAAAGCAATTTATTACATTATATCATCGACTGAAAGATCGAGAAGGTGATCAGTTGCGATGGGGTGATGAAATTGAATATACCATTATTGCATTCGATCATGAAGCGAAAAAGGCTTGTTTCATTTCCTATTCTTTTGGAAAATTTCTCATTTCTTTATTAATTATTAATTTTGTTAAAATTTTTAGTGAATTTTTCGAGAATTATGCAAAGAAATTCCTATTTTATAATTCTTTTCTTAAATAAAATATCTAAGAATTTATAGGTGCGAGTGAGCTTGAGAGCTGAAGAATTACTTAATAGGCTTTCTGCTGCTGAAGAAGTTAACGCTTTGATTGGTGTGGAGAATTGTCATTTGTGGCGTCCAGAATTTGCAGCATATATGGTAGAAGGCACACCAGGCGTTCCTTATGGCGGTTCTTTTTTCAAACCTTCATAATAATTTGTTATTTTCCAGGCCCCAATCTCAGCCTTTGGTATCCCCAAAATGTGCAATATTAAAAATCTTATCTCCAACGAAATCTTTAAATACTTTTTTGTAACGCAATAAAGCATTCCTCGCTTTTTTGAGCTATATAATTTATATTCTTTTTTTCGCTACTTTAGCCTTTTGAAACATTGTTGAGCTCCTTCTCACTTTCGTTATGGTCCATTCATGTACCGCCAAACTTCCTTTTTCATTGCGTCGCAAGGCTTGGAGGAAGGAGAGGTTGCTAAAGCAGAATAACGGCTATTTGGTAAATTTACGATAGTCGAACGAATCAAATTTTGAACAGATTTCAAGTCATTTAAACTGGATTCTAGCCTCCCATGACATTTTAGATTCATCTTCCTTTTTTCCTTGAAATAGAATAACCCAGTAGCTATTAGAAACTATTAGAAGCTATTGAGATTTGAGTCTAACTCTTTGAATTTCGTGAATTTCTCTTGATTTTTCACTTCAACATTGTTTATGATGGTTATTTCAGCATTGTTGGCTTGTTTCAATAGTGTTGAAAGTAATATGATTAGTCGTCGTGCTGAAATCATGCGATTACTGAAAGAGAATGAAGCAGTAATGTCTATTTCTTTTCCTGCTTTGGGCACTCCTGATTTCACTGTGCCTCCTACCAGGCCTCATCCAGAAGATGAGAAAGCCGCTGGACGTTCTTTGTTTTTCCCAGATGAAGCAATTTATCTCGGTCACCCCAGGTAAATTTCCTTTAAAATTTTTTTGCTAATGAATAAAATTTTTCTATTTTCAGATTCAGAAATCTAGTCAGAAATATCCGTGAACGACGAGGTGAAAAAGTTGCTATAAATATTCCCATCTTTCGAGACAAAAACACTCCATCTCCTTACATTGTGCGTTTCTTTAAAATATAGTTTGTCTGCTTACATTTGTTTTATTTTTCTTTTATTTAATTTTTATTGCAAAAAACTGTAATTGTACATTAAATTAAAAATTGTGGTTCAGGAGGAAATCGAAGCAGATGCGGCAAAGCCGGATCATATTTATATGGACCATATGGGTTTTGGTATGGGTTGTTGTTGTCTACAAGTTACATTCCAGGTTGTCTTTTGAATTTCTGGAAACAAAAACGCAACTTAATTATTTTATTTAAAAATCATTTATAATAATTATTTATTCGTTTCAATTTAATATTTTGTTCTTTCCTTCTTTTTTCAAGTGTAAAAGTATTGAGAGATCAATCACAGATACATTGGAAGTGGCATTGGCAATGGTTTACTTTGCTATTGTCAAATTATCAACATAAACCTAGTAATTCCAATATAAATTTCTGCAAGAAAATTTTTTTCTTAATAATTGCATTTTGTATAAATATGGAGTAATATAAAAATTACAGTAAAATATAACTGTAATATTGGAAATTTAAAGTTTTGGCATTATATCGTAAAAATTTTGATAAATTAAGGCGGTAAATGTTCGAGAAGCTCGTTGGCTATATGATCAGTTAACACCGATTACACCAGTTCTTCTTGCTCTTTCTGCTTCTACTCCAGTTTTCCGTTCTCGCTTAGCAGATGTAGATTCTCGTTGGGACGTTATTTCAGCTGTATGGTTTATTTCATTATTATTCAGCTAATTCTTAATTTGGTATTTTTCAGCCGTTATTTATTAACATGTTAAATATTCATTTATATCGTAAATAATACTTCTAGAGCGTTGATGATCGGACGGCAGAAGAAAGAGGATTAGTGCCATTGAAGCAAAATAAATTCGTTTTAAATAAAAGTCGCTATGATACTACTGACTGCTATATTTGCCCATGTTCCATGGAGTAAGTGAATTATTATTATTTTTATTTTTTAATACTTCCTTACCTTTTCCGACACTTTTTAAATCTTATCTTCTTTCCTGTTGTTGCAGATATAATGATATTCCATTGGAATATGATCCAAAAATTTATCAACAACTAATTGAAGGTGGAATTGATGAGCCTTTGTCTGCCCATATTGCACATATGTTCATCAGAGATCCGCTGCAGGTATTCTTTTTTAATAAATTATAGAATTGCTCATATATTTCTACTTTTTAACAAGCAAAAAGTAATTGGAAAATCGAGTGTCATAATGATGGAATGCGAGTGGCTGCTGGAAGGTGACTCTAATGGGGATCTATTCTAAAAATCCTAGTCTTTTGGCCAGCGAAACCAACTAAAAATTATTGTTCGAAGGAAAAAAAAAATTATGAATCACTGTTTAGGTATTTAAAGAGCGAATTGAGCAAGACGATTCAGCATCAACAGAACATTTTGAGACTATTCAAAGTTCAAATTGGATGAATATGCGTTTTAAGCCTCCTCCTCCATTTGCGCCTGAAATTGGATGGCGTGTTGAATTTCGTCCTACTGAAGTTCAGTTAACAGATTTTGAAAACGCTGCATATTGCTGCTTTGTTGTTTTACTTACGAGGTAAATAACTTTGTTGACTACTTTTAATTTAATTTAACTTACTATTTACAAACGGTAGAAGTAAAATAATTTTTAGTAATATTTATTATTGAATAATGAAATTATTTTACTCAAATTGTTTCTTTCTTTGCTTTTTGCAATGATATTTTATTAAACTTCTTTATAGAATCATTAATTTTTTATTAAATCTTAGAGTTATCATATCATTCCATCTGACATTTCTATTACCAATATCTGCCGTTAGTGATAATATGAAACGTGCGCAACGTCGAAATGCAGTGATGAATCAAAAATTTCTGTTTCGGAAATGTTCGCCGATTTGCGGCAAGTCATGCGACACAACAGATAACTCTTCTTCTGATGATATAGTGGAAATGTCTATCAATGAAATCATTAATGGTTTTTTATTTTTATTTCCGACAAGGTTCAACGACCATTTAGGGCAAATAAAAATAAAATGGCTAGCTGTTGTTCTCATTTCGATGCTGAGACTCTGCTCTGGCCAGGAATAAAATGCTGGCTATTTATTTGTTCTTCTAATGCCATGTGGCTTTTTGACAGGTTTTGTGATTTTAGGCAACCCAACCGACTGAACCTGACCAGATATATTGAGTAAAAATCCGGGGCATATTGCGATTGATTTCACTATGCAATAAAAAAAAACAATAATTGAGGAACAACATTTGCAAGGTAGGGTTAGGTCAAACTAATTCAAAATTGTTGGTTTTTAGAAAAGATAATAACTCGCGGTATATGTTTTAAAGGTTTCTAGAGAACGTTAAGAAAATTATAGAAATGGAAAACTAGGCAGTTATTTGAAGATCATTAGGCATTTATAATTCAGTATATAGATTTAGGTCCAATTTCAGGCTTCAGGTTTATTTTTGGGCTGCTCCCATATTTTACCTGCAGTTATCTGTCCTCTCTTGTCTTATTATTGTCTTATTACTTTCTCATAGGGCCAATACAATTCATGAATTTATTTTCAGGCAAAGATAGCGAATTCCCAGGTTTGGTACCTCTCATTCGTAATTATTTGGATAGTGCGGATGTAGATGTGGATACTCGTTGCTCGATCAGCCAATACCTTAGCTTCATTCAGGTTAAATTAATAAAAATTTTATTTTCAAAAATTTTTTTTTGTTTTATTATTATTAAAATTCTCTTTTTAGAAGCGTGCTTCCGGAGAATTATTAACTTTAGCTTCCTGGATGAGGGAGTATATTGACAAGCATCCTAATTATAAGCATGATTCTATTCTTAGTGACCACGTTATTTATGATATGCTTAAAACGGTAATACTTTCTATTTTTATTTTTTTATATAATGAAATGCTTATTAGGTTTTATTAGATTAGATTAGGTTGCTAACACTTTCTATTTTTATTATATTTATATTGTATTCTTCCAAATTTTATTTATGTTTAAAATTGATGTTTCACCGAGAAAATATTGATGATAACAGTAAAATTCTATGGAGTTTAATTTCGGCTGAGCCAAGTTATTTTTCAATTTAAATGCTAGCCATTTTATTAGATTTCTGTTTCGCATTTTTCTTCATTTTCAGATGAATGAAATTGCCAACGGCGAATTACGTTGTACAAAATTACTGGGTAATTACGAAAATCGCTCGAAAACCAATCATGGTATTCCAAAAGCAGTTCGTCGAGCAGAAGAAAGGCTTGTATTGAGTAGGATAGAACATAAATCATCGTAGTATCTATTTATATGGCATTTAGATTAAAATTCATTTCGCTGCATTTCTCCTTGCTTTTTAAGAAAGAATCTTGTTTTCAAGTTGTTCATATCCTTCAGTTGTCTTATATTGTCTTTTCTCATAGGGCCAATATCCTTCTTACTCATTCCATAGTTTTAATGCCAATTTCTAATTCATTGTCAGGTGAAAAGCATCAATAATCTCTTGCTTAATATTTTCTCTTATTCTAGATCTTTGATAATGTTCCTTATATATGATGATGGAATTGTTCATTGAGTCATTTCAAAGTGTCGGAATTCTGTTCTCGAGATAAACTTATCCTTCGAAACTTCACATGTTGCTGATGACCCACATGTACTATTGCCAAGTGACTCCCTGTTAGAACTTGTCTAGTTCCACGAACCAGCGGAGCGAATCTAATTAGAAACGATGATTGAGTGTATAGAAGTTGATTGTTACGCATGAGATTTTTTTTAATTTTCAGCTTTAGTTTACGAATTTAAATAAATTTTATTGATTTCGAGTTCAGTATAATTTCCATAATAAGAATATATCTTTTCGTGAATACGATTAAATTTATTAATTCAATTTATTTTCTTCCATGAAATGGAAAAAATTTGAAGTTATATGGTGAAATTTGCGCATTTTAAGAAAATGGAAAATAAATGAAAAATCACCGTTTCGCCTCAAATCCTTCTTAAGTTTTTCACAATTAATTCTTTGCTTCTTATAGTTATACTGGTGAAAAGAATTAGGATAACCAATAACCTATTGACCAATCCAAATTTATTTATAGAAGTATTTCTTAGTATTACGAACAAGCAGTAATAATTCAGAGATAGAATAATTTATATATACGAAGTATTTTAAATATTTTTTGTTTGCTTTCATTCGGATAAATACCTTTTAATAACAGTTGGTGATAAATATATTGATAAGTCGATGATAAAAATTATAATTTACGAACGCAAATTCATTGATAAATCGGTAATAAAGACTCAAATTTTGAATGAATTCATGAAGTCCAATTTAAGGTTTTGGTTCTTTTGGTCCATTTTTTGAAATTATCATTGATGAATTTTCTTCTTCTGTTAGTATTTCCAATTTGGCTGGCCCCATCTGCATGAACCAATTAGATCTGTGGTCTTCAAAATTCCTCAGGCTCCTTAAATGACATAAAAATCTTTGGTTCTCAGTATAACATTAAAATTTTAGAATATTTATTAAATTTTATCACCTAAAAGTTACCACTTTCTTTCGATTATAATTCTCGTTTATACTATATCACTTTAATCGTCGTCCATTTTCAAAAATAATCTGAATGCGTAATGCTATTATTATAGTTTATGAGTAATTATCCGGAGAATATACTATGGATGAATGAACGAACCAATTGCCTCATTCATGTTCAGCTTAATTTTTAGAAGTCAAGCAAGCAGGGCGACGAGGCGACAAATGAAACATTTCTGGAATCTTTCAATTAATTTACTTGGTTTATGAGGGCTATTCATGAGGGCATTTTGACCAGTTTGTTCAATCACACAATTTTGCAATAATTTTATGGAAACATTTTGGACCACAAAGCACCATCTAAATTTGACAGATTTCACTTTCTGATTGCATATCAGTGGAAACAATCAGTAGTTTCACTAATTATTTATTATTCGGTCGTAAATATAGAAATTCAACAAAAACTTTTAAAATCATACTGCTAAACCGAAACTGATTCGCAGAAAAAAACTTTGACAAAGAAAGCGACAAACAAAAATATTAAAAATACATTGAGCAATGCAAAATAAAAAAAAATTAAAACAAACTAAAGCAAATTCCACTAAAAAATAATATCTTTCATCGAATAAGCCGATTTTTAAGTTAAATAGGCAAATTTCCGGATTTTCTACTAAATTTAATTTTAGCGTTCATCACGAACGCTAAAATTGGAATTTCCTAAACTGTGGAATCTGCGGAATTTAAAATAATAAAATAGTAATTTTTAATTTCAAGCGTAAATATATTGTAGAAAATTAGCCAACATAAATAAACACTTCGAAGAGCAATATTTGTTTACTTGTTTAAACCCAAATAACCGACGACTTCAATTGCAATTTGGGAAAAAGTCTGGGAAACGCTAAAAGGTACCATCGAATAGTTATAGGTAAAAAGGATGCGATTCATTGACGAGGTAGAAGGCTGGAAACTAAGCCAAAAAATTAAATAATCTCTTAAATTGGTGAATTTTTCGTTTGTTGAGAATCGTCGCATTGTTCAGTAAACGAAGAAAAATTCGATTGTTGACATTGGGTTTCCTTAATTTATTTATTTGTTTAATTTTTTAAATTTATAATTTTTCAAGTTTAAAGAAAAATTTAAATTTATTTAAATTTTTTAAATTCATTTGAAAAAATTTAGAAAAAAATTTTTTCCAAAAATTAGTCATTTTAAATAATTCGAGTTAACTTGTTTATTTAATTATTTATTTAAATTTAGCAATTTTATTTTAAAGAATTTTTCAGCTCATTTATTTTTATTTTACTGGAGTGATTATAGAGTGATTTATGATGACTTTAATATTAATATTAATCGCTGGAAGTCAACTTTTCGCCTTTTCCCCTCCTTTCCTTCCCCACTTTTTCCCGTCAATTTTCTCGCCCCTAATAGTTGTTTTGCTGTTTGGGCTTAGGCAGCAGTAAATCTGCGTCATTAAAGGAAAAAATCAAACAAATTTAAATGTGAATATAAACGAACGAACGCGAAAACGCTAAGATGCATTTAATTGTTTTTTCGTTGGTTCGCGTTGAAATGAAAATTTCGATTTTTTAGCGATAAAAAATATTTCACCTCTTCAATGGGCTCTTCAGAAGCCGTGCAAAATGTTGAATTAAGAGCGTGGTGAAGGAATATCGTCGGGGGTTTGGCAGCTATCGAACTAAGCAGAAACGTTTTGCTCGCTGATCGAACTCGTGCCTTTGCTTCTTCAATTTTTTTCGCTTCTTGCCTCCTTTCAATCCAACAAAAGCAATAACGGCATAAAAAATCTCGGAAAAGCTGAAATTTTTCGTTTATATTTGCTAAAAGACGAAAATTTACTTGTCATTTCCGGTGGGTGAGTAATCAAGTGGGCACTAAAAACAGAACCCCCCGCTAGGCCACCGCCATCATTCTGAAAGACAATTACTTCTATGTGGAATAGAACTACAGTGTCCACGCTCCGAAAGACACACAACAACTACTCACCGAGCCATTCTACACCTTTAAATCTTCAATTTTTAACACACAGCATTATTGATAAAAATCCACTTCTTCCAGCTCCACCATAATTATTTATTTGCTTTCATAATTCTCCTTCGAATCCTTGAAATATTTCTGCATTTTTCGATTACACTTCCAAGTAATTCCAACAAATTATAATTTTATGCCTATCTAAAGAGAGAGTGAATTTTCTCGCAAATGCGTTAAAGTAGCTATTATATTTCTGCCAAACCAAGTGAAGAAAGGAAATTATTAAGTAAAAAAACTTTAAACTTTTTTAAAAAAAGTCAATTATCGCTAATTATCGAATATTTAACTCAAATTTTCCCCCTCAAAATTACTTTCAAATGATATTCTTTGGATTTATTTATTTCCTTTTTTCTATGAATTATCGCTAAATTAAGCAGAAAGTTACGATCATAGTTAATTAATATTTATGCAAATTCCAAGCAAATTATTTCGACTTATAGTTTACATATATCCACCAATTTGAAGAAGAACTAGAATTCGTGGAATACAATTTATGAATAGAATCGCCGTAGTGGAGGTGGAATGGCTGGCTCAGTGGGCTTTTGCTCTCATTTCGATGAGCTAATGCTTAGGTTCCAATCGCAGCACAAGTAAACTTATCATTTGTGGAAAAATGCATGGATATTATTAGCGGTTTATTTATAATGCCAACTGAAAGATTTATTCATTTCACAAGAGAGTAATCAAAGAATTTATAGAAAATTTATCAGCTAATCAGCCATCAGCCAATAATAGTTATCAACATTTTCTAAAATATTTCAAGTCGATACAATTAAAATACCATTTTTTCAAAATTTCTCTTTAAAATATTGGCCTAATTGAAAATAAAAATCATTCTAAAAATTTATGTGAATGTGAACTTTGAAATTTGAATAACAAATTGTTGCCACAGAATCTTTTTTTGAATAAGAAATGAGGTTATATGGAAGAAATATGGCTGTCATTCTATGTTGGAAATATAAATAGATATCTGCACCAATATCCGATTACTACTTCGAATATAAATTTCACTTCCGTCAAGGACTTCAGAAATCGAAGTCGAGTAATGACTGCTTGATTTTAGTCACAATAATATTTGCTCAATTATCCAGCTTTTTAAACTTTTAGTGCAAAAAAAATATGATAAGTGATAAGAAGAAAAGCTTATTGACACTAAAATTTTTTAGGAATAGAAAAAAATTCGAGGATTATGATGCCCTATAATTGATGAAAATAAACGAAAAACTGAAAATTATAGTTGAAAGTCGAGTTAATCTATCCATTCTATTGACGATTTTCGCTGATATTGCCTTAGAACCGAATAACAACTCGAAAATTTGCTGAATTTGCTAGCAAACGATGCATAAACCAAGAGAGAAATACATGAATACAATAAATGAATAATTCAGAAAAGTGTTCATAAAACCATGAAATATTTATAATTGAGCAATAAATTAGTATAATATTTATTGATAAAAATATATCCGATGTTATCATCATTAAATTTCAATTTAAAAAAAAGAACAATTGACAACTTATGCATCACCACTTCACACCATAAACTTACGACTTGATAACCACGCATATCGCATATTTATGAAAAATTTGCTGGAGGCATTTTTTGCTAATCGGCCAATTAATGATAAATAATTGCCTTAAAAAATGTATGGTTTAATATTGTGTATGTGTAAATGTATGTGTATGCATGTGGGTGTTTAGAAAGAACGATCGAGAAATTCTCTGGCTTTAGTGACTTTAACGAATTAGTAAAATTATTAAAAGAATTAATTAATAAATGAATTTTTATAATCAATAAATTGCGAAGTATTGAAATATCGATAAAATATAAAATATATCGATAAAATGAAAATTAAAATTTGTTTTTCGAATAATTTTTTTTATTTTTAAAATTTATTTACAATAAAAGAATTGATAAAATAAAATAAAAATAAAATAAAAATAAAAATTGGTAAAAATCATCAAAAAAAAATAAAAATAAAAATTGAAAAAAAAGACGAAATAAAATAAAATGATTTTATTTTCATAATTTAATAAAAATTTTCTTTTGCAAACAAAACTTTTTTTTTCAAATTATAAATCGAATAAAAGAATTTGCTATAGCTTAACTAAGAAACTAAATTAAAAGCGATGTGTTTTGTTGCTCTGAAATATTTGATTATTGAAAAGTGCACGAAGAAAGCAGTGAGGATCGATACTAGAAAATGAGGAATCCAGAAAATAAAGGCCAACCAGCCATCCATCCATCTTTTATTTATTTCTTATTCAACGAATAATTATTTTTTGCCAGAATGAGAAATAAATAAATTACATACATAAATTTAAAAACCACAAAAAAAATTCTCATATAACCACTAAAGTAAGCCTAATAACTAACATAAATATTTATTTATTTATATAAATAAATATTCATTTAAGGCCATTTATTAATTTGCTTAAGGGCCTTCCAATTTTCTTAAACAAAAACTGCAAAAATCTGCAAAAAATTCTATATTACTTTATTCAAGTATTGAATCAAGTATTAAATTACTTTGGTGCCGTTGTTGAATTATTCCAATTTATGAAAATTTAATTTATTCATAAAATCAATCTAATTTTTTAATAAAATATTTTTTTTACAAAGTAATTGAGTTATAAATTTATTAAATTTATTGGTAAATGATCCTCGGCAAAAAAAAATTAGTCTCAATGTTTCCACTGATACGCCATATTTATGGTGTCTGATCCAGTAATTTTTTTTACTTTTCAATATTTTTCAATTCTTTTAATTTGTAATTGCATCAATCATTGTGTTTATCGCGGTGATTTCGATGAATAATCCTAATTTCCCCGTAAACGTCTCACTGAATCCCTTAAGGAACTAAAAATATTATCATTATTATCAACAATCATTTATAAAAATTTTGCAGTTGAATAAGACGGGGTTGATGGGGAATAAAAGAGGGTGAAAAAGAGGGGAGTTATTTGTGGATAAAGGAACCTATAGACAACAATTAATCAGATTTTCACTTTTAACGATCATGTTCACTCTTTTTTGAAGTGTCAAAAAAATTAGAGAATCCATACAAATTTCCAACAATAGAAATTTATCTGAAATTTTCCACTTCGTTATTTTGATTGTAATTATTATTAAGAAAATTTTCAAGTTTAAGGATTTAAGGATTTAGCAAAAATCTTTTGACGAGAACAATTTATTGGATATAAATTATTAATAAATGATATTACAAAATATTAATATTAATATTAATATTTTCGAAATATTAATATTTTTGATACAACGAAAAAAAAAAAACTTCTAAAACTTTTTAGAATTTTTATAATTTTAAGAAAATAAGTTTAAATAAAAAAAATTTTTCAATAGCATTAAAAATATTTTTAAATTCAAATTTTAAATGATTTAAAAAAAAATTTTATCTTATCAATTTTAATTTAATATATATTTTTAATTTCGCAGTGAGTTTAATAAATTTTTCATGAAATTTATTTATTATTGAAACAAATTTTATTTCGTATTTTATTAAAATTAAAAAATTTATTGTTTCATATAAATATTATTTAATTATTATTGAATTTTTGCAAAATTATTTAAAATTGTTGCTTTTCTATTACACATTTAATTAAATACAACAAATTGATCAAATCAAAAGTGCTAAAAATAACTAAAAATAAATAAATAATTAAATGCTTAATATTTTTCGTTCAACTCGCCCCGTTGGCTGATTGACCAATATTTCATATATTTGACTGGCTTTTTTTCCAATAAAATTTTATTAATATTAATAAAAATTAATTTAATATAAATTAAATTAATAAAATATGAAAAAATATTAAAAAATGCACTGATAATGAAAATTTTTAGTTTTTAATTTTTTTAATTTAAAATATTTAGTATTAATGGGATAGAATGGCTTAGTGTGATATCGATGATTTCGGAGCGCCGACATTTGAGTTCTATTAGCATATTTGAGTTCGACTAGCATAACGAGAATTCTCGGCATTAATGAAAAAAATCTGTCTTTTAAAAATCAGAAATGTATAAGTGATTTTTGTAGGCAAATGAGTCCCTTGGTGAATTCTGTCTGATCCGATAAACCAGCTGAGCGAGACTAATCAAAAATGGTGAAAAAATATTCTCAGAAAAGAAACAAAAAAAATTAGTAATAACGAAATTTATTGAAAATGAAATGAAATGTAATTTTTGAAAATCATTTTTAACGAATTTTAAAGAAGAAGAGAAAATAATAAATTAAATTAAAGCTGATTTAAAAAATCGAGAAATATCTTTTTTTTGGGGTGAATATAAATTTGCCAGCAAAAAAAATTGGCTACCACCACTCAACTTGTTACCAATAAATGCCAACAGAGGTACTATCCATTCAGATGCCCAGGTGTTCAGCACCATCTGCATTTCACTTTCAATAATAGGTTTACTATATTCTCATTAAAAGAACCACAGTCGAATTCATTCATCTATTTATATTTCTAAATTTAATTTGCTATTGCGAATTCGATTCATTCGATTAGATTAGATCATTTCATTGGATATTAATAAATAAAATTTAAACGTTTGGATAAATTCATTTGATCCTCCTTTGGGGCAAATGATTCGCTAAGGTTTACTGGATGAACAATTTATTTCGAGCGGATCCTTTGGTTCTTTGGTTCATTAAATCATAAATGATTTATAAGTAAATCCGATTTAAAGGTCGATTCAGTTAAATAAAATAAAAGATAGTGGAACAAATATCGAATAAATTGGATTCATGGAAAAATTGCATCATAAATGATAAAGCAATGATAAAATAGGAAAAGAATTAGGAAGTGCAATGGCTTAACGAATTTTCGCTCCAACTTCGAAACGCCGATGCTGTGTGGGGTTCTGCTCTTAGCCGGGGGAAAACCTGTTTTTTGAAAGTCCATGTGGTACTCATCTGTATTTCTACTGATCCTCTGGCAAATTTTCGATGAAGTAATAATAAAGTTAATAAAGTAAAGTAACTAACCATTGGATTAGCACAAATAATGATAACGATCATCCAACCGAACAATATACAAATGCCAAAAATAAATATTTTATGAGTATCTTTATCGTAATCCATCCAGTTAGTCAAAAGAAGAGGTAATACGAATATTGTTTTAAAAATAAAGTATTAAACGTGGTTCCTGGTGGATCTTTTCAGGTGCCAAATCGAAAAAAAGTAAATATTAGATAAGATTATCTAAAAGCTTTTTCTGGATATCAGTTAATAAAAATCTGGCTTTTTGGCAATTCCAAGCACGAATATAACGAAAATGCGAGGAAAAATGGAGTCCTCTGGAAACTTCTTAAGCAGCTTATAATTGAAAAATGAGTTAACGAAACCCTTTCCGAATCCTTTTCAAGCACAAAATGAAATAAATAATGAAATATATTAATAGAAGTCCTCTGGAACCTTCGATGGCACCAATTAATTAATAGTCTTTTTCTTGCTAGCGGCTGATACGATGCTTTTGATGAGTGAATATAAATGTTTGAACGGGTGTGGCCATTGGCTGATATATGTGTGCGAAAGTATGTGTAGAGCGGATGTGTAATAAAACTTGTGTGTTTGCTTTTGCCTTCTGATCATTGATACTTAATTTCAACATATTAGGTTTATTTATACTTAGCAGTATTTCAAAGTTGTTTGTAGCCCAGTCTTGGCTTTCGGGCCAAGGACATACTCATCCTAACCTTAGAGAAGCTAAGCCAACAGTCCCAGTCGGTTTTAGACGTTTATTATTATTGAGCCTAATGACAAACTGATGATGATCACATACGTTTGCTTCTCGATAGGCACTTCGGGCCGCCTAGAAATGCAGCCGGGCTGTGGCCTCAACAGCAAGTTGATTCTATTTATAGTCATCCTCAGGATCCATTTATTTTTGTGAGGCTTAAGTTATGTGAGTTCTCCGTTAGAATTCGCCTGTTGGGTTTACTTTTTGTTTAAGTTTTGGCTGTCTCGTTTGGCTGGTACCATTTATTGCTAGGACGAAACATTTAATTTCGCTAGAGGGTCGCTTGTGGACAAAAACACTTATAAATTGGCCATTAGATTTTGTTTTTTTTTTTGTACAATTATTTCACTTTCGTAAATATTAATAATTTTTCTTTTTTTCTGATTTTTTTATTTTGCAGTTTCGAAAATTCAATAATCGATTATTGCATTTCAAAAAAGATATTCTTTTTTTTGTAATTATTAAAAATTTTATATTTATTTATTTTTATTAAAATTATTTGCTTTTATATTTTTAAAAGCTGTTGGAGCTAACTTTTTTGTATTTTTTATTTATTTTTTTTTATTTTTTATAAATGGAATGGACAAATCTATAAAAATTTTCATAATTATGAGCTAATTATTTAAATTTATTATTATTCGATATTTATTAATTAATTAATTTTTATTTATTGCAAATTTTATTACGAAAAAATAATGCCAAAAGTAAATTTCCTATAAACCTTACAATTAATCATCGATTGATAGCTTTCTTCAGAGTTCTGCTTAAATTATTTAATTTTTAATTATCGCCAAAAAATCATTATTATTTGCTGAATCTAATTCTTTCCTTATTTATTTTTAGGTTTTTCGTTATATTATCGAACCGAACCGTTGGGCTTTAAAGGAGAGTTAGATGCGGGGAATGAATGTGCTATGTGAAGATGTGATTGCGGAATTGCGGAAATCCACGCGTAGCTCTATCCTCAGTGGGTTACTCGGAAAGAATTCGTCCATCTCATAGCTGCTGCCTTCACCGTGAAGTGAAATTCAGATGGTGCAAAACTGCTACTTTGCCGAAGAAGTGAAAGTAAGGTTTTTTTAGTTTGCAATACTTACAAGTTTTGAAAGTTTTAACACGTCTAAGCTTAAATTTAGGCTATTGTTACTGCATTTTTTCCAAGTTTTTTTTTTAATTTTTATTTTAGTTCGAATTGTATGAATGGGCCAATGTGATAGAAGTCCTCGCTTACCAGTGGCGTGGGGTTTTAGAAATATTCCAGTAAGAGCTGTTCTAAATAGTTTTTCATTTCCTCCATTTCCTTCATCTGTAGCGGTTTATAAAACGATTTTTGATTTTTCTGACGTATATTCTCATTTATAATTGACATATGTTATGTGACATTATTAATTAGTCTGATTCGTTTCGGCGTAATAGCTTTTTCATTGCCATCTAATGATATCGAATATTTTTAATTTTATTTCCAGGTAAAGCCATTCGTTTATTTCATTTTTGCACCATAGAAAGGAATGGATGAAATATGGGAGTTTTTTAAAGTGTTGAAGGCGTTCAGCTAAATATCGCTTTTTCTTCCATTGGCAATATTGGCAAGTATGTGCCATTGCCGTTATTTTAAATTTTTTTGGACATTCCTTTTTTTTTCAAAAAATTCTTTTGAAAAATTTTTTAGAATTTTGAATTTTCATAAAATTCGTAAACTATCGAAGTTCACTGCATTTGTAGGCGAACAATTAGCAATGCTTTTGGATTTCGTTTGGCAATCCTTTTGGTGGCCATTTTCATCGCTTTGAGTAAGTTAATTAATAATTAATGTTTGAAAATATATTTATGCTTACGAAATGCTTTCATTTTACCATATCTTCTAAATATAATCTTCATTTATCATCTTTTTGTACCGTTTATAATATTTTTTTAAGTCGAACTTGGCAATGTGCCTACCGAACAGTTGTTGTGATCTGTTAATTTTGGCAATTTTTTCATGGAGTGGTTTTTTCGTTTGAACAAGTGCTTGCTTTTAAATTTTACTTTTCCATTTATTTTTTGGTTGCGTTTAACAAATCCATTCTTCAGTTTACAAAAATGCGATGAAACTTGCATTTTTTATCATTTATCATTTTCATCTTTAGGAAATTAACTAGCTATTTCCATTATTGACAAATTTCAGTCAACGATCAGGATTCGAATAAATTTTTCAATGCTAATTAGAAAGTGGAATTATTATAGGTCAGTTTCTTTGCAATTGCTTGGTTTGCTCAATTTTCCCAAACTATAGCTTTTGTTTAAAAAATATTTTTTAAATTGTGCGATAAAATATTCAATTTGAAATGTTAAAAATAGTACAAAAACAGTATTTTTTGATGGAATGGAATTATTGTAGTATAATTTTGTTTCTTTAATTATTATATTTCGAATCATTTTTGACATATATGCGATTGATTTTTCGATAAAATAAATAGATTGATTTAATCACGAAGTATTCAAAATGATCTTACAAGAGCAACACATTCGTCATCTTATCAATTGAACCTTCATAATAGTGTGTTTTTGTTGATATTTATTATTTTTATTAATGCTTTTCTAGATTACGATGAAACTTTTTGACTTGTGGTTGCGTCAAAGATAGAAGTAACAACTGTTCATTTATTTATTGCATTTAAGAACTTATCGCTCCCATATTCACCAGGAAAACATAATTTGCTACAGATTAATTTGAAATCTCTATAAAGGCTTTAAGAAATTTGTTTCAAATGTTAATGCTAAGAAATAAATCTGACAATAAAAAAAAACGAAAAAATAATGTTAATCTGCGGCATTTGGTTGATATATTTTATTTTTCTCGTATATATTTCCTTTTATCTTTTTTATTTCCTTCATTTTTCTCCTTTTTACAGAAAAATATGAATGGTTCACATATAGGTGAAGTTTCATTTCTTGCAGTGATTGCTGGTGATGCTGCTGGCAACTCACCTGTATTTCTATCGCGAAGAGATTCCCTGGTAAGTGACGGCTCTAAAAAAAAAATTGATTGCAGAAGAAGGCTTAAATTCTTAAGACCTTAAACTTTAAGGTTTTAACTTTAAATTCGCAAGGATTTTAATCTGTTAATTGAAAAATTAAGATTTTGTATTTTTTCTTTATTCCGTTATTTGTGGAACTTTGATTCATTGATTTTTATATATTTTTATATTATGTAATATATTTAATTTTATATTCTTCTTGGGACAAATGAATCGTTTTTTCGATGATAATTTAGTTGAGCCATATTTTTGGTCTTAATTTAAAAGATAAAGGTTGATGATAATTTAAAACCACGGAAAGTTCGTCGATCTATGTTAATATTTCAGATGTTAATATTATGTTAATTGCTTATTTGAATATAATAATGGATTTTTGATTTTTCCAGACATTTTTTCTTTTCTGTTATTGCTATTACTGTTTTAGAATTATCATTAAATGATCGTAAATGATCGGTGATAGTCGATTTTTTGATCCAGTTTCAGTTGAGTTTTTTTGAAAGCAGTTTGAGAGGGCGATATTCAAAGTTTTTTGAAATATGGGAAGAAATTTTTTTTTGTTGTTTTTTAATTTATTGGCATTCATTTGAATATAGGGGAGTATTTGAATATCTTTTTACGTTAATATTGTTATAAATTATTATAATTTCCTTGATGTTGCTTATTTTACTTAATTTTTCCAGGCTTTTGCCATTTTTTAAAAATATTGCCTAAAATATTCCTATTCTTAAAATTTTATTTGCGATAAAAATTCGAATGAATAGCTTTGAACACGCTTTCACGCTTTAAAATGCAATTTTATAAATATTGGCCATTTTTCTTGTCATAAATCGAAAAACCATCTCATCTTTACTTCTTAACTGTTAACAGTAATGAATCAATTAAGTAAAGAATCCAACAAGATGAATATTTGTAATAAAAAGATTCTAAATAATAAAAAGGGATAAAAAGGATAGGATATTCTAATTTATAATTTTTATAATTTATAATTTCAGATAAATAAAAAATGGGAAAGTACTTGGAAATATACGGAAGTGAATTCCAGGAGCAATTTGAAATTGCGGATAATCAGATAAAACGTGCGACTGAAGAAGTTGCTCGATTTCGGCTGTTTTCTTTGAGGATGTGGTGGTTATTATTTTTAGAAATTTTTTTGCCTCGAGGATATCCGAATTCTGTGTCCTCTGATTATTTTGAATATCAAATTTGGGATACAATACAAGCTTTTGCGAGTTCGGTGACAGCGGCTTTGGCAACGGAAGCTGTTCTTCGTGGTGCTGGAATAGGAAATGAGGTTTTTTTCTGCTAAAATTCTTAAGGCTTTTTTCTTATCATATGGTGAATATGGTGGTTTCTAATTTAAAAAACAATTCTATAAAGCAGGAACAGTGAGAATAATTTTACGACTGTGATGGTTTTTTTTGGTGGATAGAATGGCTCAGTGGGTTGTTGCTCATTTGGGAGTACCGAAGCTGAGGTTCCTCACAGGAGTAAACCTATACAAAAATCTGGCGACTCACCTGTATTTCTATTCCCATCGCCAAGGAATAGAAATTCCCTGGCATAGTTCCCAATGCGACAAGCCAGTGGAGCGAGTTTAACCAGTAATGGTGAGGACTCTTTTAAAAAAAAAGGTGAATATGGTCATCTCTATTTGGATAGAAAGGAGTAAATGAAGGCTGACAAGTTCGCATTTACCTCAGAAATCAAAAGAGGCTTGAAGTCATTTTTTAAGCAAATATTTGTTCCTAGAATGCGTCTGCTTTGGCGGCTACTATTACATGGTTACTGAAGGATGGTTTGGGAATGATATCGAGAATATTGTTCACATGGTTGAATAGCGCTTCACTTGATGCCAACTGTAAACAGTGGCGCCTTTTCGCTGATGTTCTTAATGATGTAGCCTTTTCGTTAGATCTTATTGCACCAGTTTTCCCTAATTTTTTTGGCATTATTGTTTGTATATCATCAGTAGCTCGGTCTGTTGTTGGAGTTGCCGGTGGAGCCACTCGTACGACAATCACTCACCACCAGGTTTCATTTTGTGAATTTTATGAAATTAAAAAAAATTTTTATTTGCTTTTCTTTAATATATCTTAGCAGTTCGAAACAATTGTTGTTGTTAGCGAAATCATTTTATAACTCATTTGACCTCAAATGGTTTGATAAGCTTCAGGCAAAATTTAACAATATTGCTGATGTAGCTGCAAAGGATGGATCACAGGAAACTTTAGTCAATATAACAGCGCTATTTTGTAACATGATAATTTTACCACTGGTCAGTGGTAAATCCCTTCTCGTATGGCTACTTTATTTTTTATTTACAATTGTTCATCTTTTTGCTAACTATCGAGCTGTTACAGCGTTGCAGTTTCGTACACTCAATCAGAGATTATTATCGCTGATTGCAAGGTTAGCTACTTTCTTTCATTTAGAGGCATAAAATGTCGAATCTTAACGTGGCTGATTGATTATTTGATAAAGGCCAAGAAGGACTTTTATCGAACCATTTTATTAAAATGTTTTTTTTTATTAAACCATTCTAAAACTAGAAAAAATTATTTTATTAAATTATTTCCAGGAAATTCGTTGAATCTGGTGAAATATATAATATATGTGATGCGAATCGTTTGGAACCTTTGCTACCGTTTAATCGTGCTAGTCGTCATTATGGCTGTCGCATTTCTGAAGTATTTGCATCAAAACAAACTATTAGATTTACTCAGTCTTCTTATTTGATTGCCTTTGATGAACATAAGGATTGCGGTTATTTAGCAGTAAAAACTGATTTTGACCGACGATTGGAACTTGAAGCTGCATTTCAATTGGAATTCATTAGCTGTATTGGCAAGTAAATGATTATTATAATTATAATTGTATCTTTTTACTTCTTAATTAATCATATGAAAAGGCGGATCGACAGATTTCAAAGGGTGCTAAATGATTACCAAATACTTTCTCTAACAGCATTTCCAATCTTGGCTATGTTTTCATTAATTACTAAAACTTACTTAATTACTTTTTCGTCAAAGCATTCATCTTGTGATAGAGGTACAATTGGCTCCTTATCATCAGTTCGTAATTTACAATAATGACAAATGTATCTCTCTTTATCAGTGAGGCTCTATGCTGCTTTATCCTCAGCAAAAACAACACTACTCAACCATCATGTTGCTATGAAATGCAGTTATCCGATTAAAATTCGAGCTGCCATAGGTTCCATTCTTTCTTTCATAAGAGTCAACTTTTAATAATCTAGATGGATCTAAGGATCCATCTTTATCTATTCCTCGATGACCATCTGATAAAAGCATCCATACAAGTTGTTAGTGAATCTAGTCAGTGAGCACTGCTAAAAGGAGCTAGCCAAAATTTCAATGCAATGCAAATTTCAGTCTTGATTCATTTTTCCACATTTTATTTTCTATTATCCTTTTTTCTTTTTATTTACCATTTTTTTCAATTTCAGAATACTTCCCGATGAACAAATAGCTTTATTGTTAAGGAAATTGGATGAAATGGGCTGGCAAACTTCCGAGAATCGTCTTAATTTCGATCTTTGGACATATATGGAAAAATAATCGAAAGTACTCAAACATCTCTCGAAAGCTTATTCTGGAGTGCGTGATGAATTAGATTATTTTTTTTTTTTTTTGAATGATATTGGCTTCTTAGGCTTTGTAAATTTAATTTTTTTTTATTTATTTTTTTATTATTTTTATTATTTTATTATTGTTTTATTATTAATTTGCTTACAAGTTATTTCTCTACAAAGTATAATAAAATTTTTTATTCTTTATGTTTTTCTTTGAAAAATGAAAAATTCCAAATATTAAATTTTTTCCCATATGGTACCATAAGGCTTAGATCTATCTATATTCATATAGAATACATTTCGAATCAAATTCACGCTATACTATAAAAATCGCTCTTAAATAACTTTTAAATTGTAAGTTTGAATAAATAAAACCAACCCTCAACATCTCCAAAAGAAGAGGCATAGCTTAATGACGTCCGTCACTATTGAATATAGGAAACAATCGGAAACAATCAGATTTCTGCTAAAAATGAGCGTGATGACACTGCGCAGCCAGATGGCTGGTATTTGTCCTGGACGTCGAAGCTCTCGTAAAATAAGAAAATATTACCCATAGGAAGACTCGATATGGTGTGATCTCTGCAAGAAGTGTCTGCAACAATGTGGTAAAATTTACAAAGCGGAAATGAGAGGAGCAACTTTAAAAAATTTTCCTAAATTAGTACATAATTTTGCAAGAGAAATGCTTGGAAATGCTGAATGCTGCGAAAACAATAAAATTGGAACATAGAGCATCGAAATCAGCTAACAATGACCCCCAATAGAAGGGAAAAACTCCAGCAACCAATTAAAAGTATATTTTCTACAGAGATGAACTGACATTATTATAGAAAATTAAGTACCATTTCAGCCTTGCAATCTTTTCTCGAATCATCGGAACAACAAATTTTATGGAATCTTCGACAAATAATCTGCAGAAAAAATAACAGATAAAGACATTCGTAATGCATGTTCCTTTCAGAATTTCGGCCACAATCTAAGAAGAATCAAAAAATTCATGCATGAAGAATTAGTCAGCAAGCCTTGCAAATTACTGGGGAATAATTTTAAAAAATTTTCTCGGCCAATCATAAGGAAGCAGTGGAAATAAGAAACTCTGCAACGCAATTGACACTATTTTCACACCTTTAGTTTCATGCCAGTTTCATGCCTGCAGAAATGAACTCCAAGCAAAGAATGAAATATGATCAATGATGTCAAAAACGAAGAAAAATTTATTAGAAATATTTTGCAATATGGGTGCGATTCATTAAAGTTGGTATTAGAAAAACTCGTGATAATTTACAAGATAAACCGTTTCATCGTATTAGATTAATGATAAGAATGAGGTGAAAGCCATAGGCTTGATAATTGATAATTAATTATACAAAAATTTTAAATCGAGAAATTCTTAATTTTTATATTTAAGTTCCCTCAAAGTAATATTAATATTCCTAAAAATTTAAAAAAAGGTTTCTTTTGGGGAATTTTTCCCAGATTTGGGGGAATTATTCTTTCCTTTTCCACTATGGCTCACCTCTTTTTCGTTTTAATGTTTAAAAAATTTGTCCCTATATATGCCCATTTAAAAATTACATTTTACTTTATAGCTAAACAAACTATTATAAAATTTTATATCCTTTTAGTTTTCCTTAAAAAATGAAAATTGTACGTTTTCCACGAAAACTAAATCATTCGAAATATTAGAATTTTTCTTCCTTAAAAGATTAGTTTGTGGAATATGCATGGATAATTTAGCAAAATTTTAATAAAATTTTCTATTTATAAAAACAAACAATTCATGAAAAACATTTAATCTTATCATATCATAATTAACATTTAAAAATAAGCACCAAAAAAATGGATTTAAAAAGTCAAATATTCTCCGCCAATGTTGTCTTTTAAAATACTTAACATAAATAATAATATTCGAATTTTATTTTCCTTTTCTTCCATAATGCTTTTTTCTTTCCACCTATTTAATAAATTATAAATAAGGTGTTCACCAGCTGAATTAGAAATAGAAGTAACTAGAAGAATCACCAATCATTTTTAAAGTAACCATAAAATTGATCTGAAAGACTTTAGCACTAACATTAGCTGGCTAGCAATAACGACTCTTCATATAAAATTACAAAATTACTAATTACTTTTTACCACAACGGAAAAGAAACACTTTCTTCTCACATATTACAAAATGCATATGTACCCGCACCACAGGCTATCCAAAAACAACAAAATTCCTATATAAAGATTTCCCAAACCATGAATAGCCTTTTAAATAAAACTGAAATCTTTCTCTACATACGATTTAATCTTCGAAAAAAAAGGGTAAATATATGAACTTATAGAATGAATTACCCGTAAAAACTTTGGGAAATCTAATCAATATAATTTGAGGATTACACCATTCATTATAATAATACAAATTTCATTAATTTGGCAAAAAATGATTGGTTTATACTTATCAAAATTTATCAGAAAGTAGCTCTTTGGCCATTTATGAATAACAGTGATATTAACTGGAAATTAGTTTCTTCATTTGTCCATCAGTTAACTGGACCCTGCCAATTTGAAGTGAGCATTTTCGTGAATTTCTTCGTGAAATCACATACTAGAATATACCCGAAACAATTTTTAAGGATTCTTTTCTGATTGAGCTTCGTTGGAAGATGATTCGGGCTCCTCTTGCCTTTCCTGCTCCTCAGGAATCCTCGCTTGATACCTGCAAATAAAATTTTTATTTCTATACAACAACAAAATTATCGCATGAACAATACGTGTGCATGCATGCTTTTGCCACGAAATTAGCCAGTTTTCTCATTCACTGATTCCATATTTGACAAATTTGCTGGCATAAACCATTATATAATTTCTCGATACTGATATTAACCAAATTTATAGAGCTCTAAGAAAAATATAAAAAGACCATATGTGAATCAAATTTTATTTCTTCGTTTCCTGTTATCATTTTATCGAGAATAACCCATATGCTGAACTATCATTTTGAGATGGAGATCTAAGTGAGTTCCAAGCCATCTGTCTTTAGCATAAACTGATTAATCAAACTGAATAGCCTAAGATTTTATTCAATTGCAAATTTATCTCTATAAGCCTCTCCATCCCTATAGTCTGCCAGAATTTTAACTATATAAAGCGATAATGGCTTTTTGGGTAATGGCACAAATCAAATTTTGCTAACCATTCGCGATTAAGTTCTAACTGATCGAGTACTGGTTGCGCATCTGGATTCACTAATTCAGCCCATGTTTCGAATAGAGGATGTACAATATAATCGATAAAACCGACCTATAAAAAAAGATTAAATTATTTATTGGTCATAAAATAGATTCTTTCGTTTTCAGTTTCTTCGTGAAGTCACGCATAGATTCATAAGTCTTAGTATAATTTAATGGCTTCTCTAATTTGGCTAATATTCTGAATGGCTCTTGAAAATTAATGACTCTTTGCGTTTGACGAGATGAACCTAAGAAATAAATAAAAATGAATTGCTTCTAAGGAACAACAACCACATGTGGCATAAAATTGGCTTCAAATATAACCTCGATGCATCAACCAAGCGACCGACTGACCAATTCAAAACAACAGGTCAGATCGTCAGCTAAGCTGCATGACATATTAGTAAATGGTAGACTAATTTCAGCTTGCGCAATTTCAATCTATAGGCCCATAAAGTGATGAAAGAAAGATGATAAAGTAAAGCCAAATAACTATAATTTTATAAAATTTGTATAAAAACCCATATTACCTAAGGAAATGATTTTAAGTATTCTGCTTTAAACTGCTTATCAAAGAAAGGAGTGCTTAAGAAAGAAAGAAATGAAACCTGTGATTTTTCAAGAGAAACGTTGCTTCTATCGCACATCGGTGAAATCTCGAGGTTTAGGTCTTTCTCTCGATCACCTTGTCTCCAATATTCCTCCATGATCCTTTGGTTCCAGTTACGATATAGATCGATAGGCTTCGTTGGATTCGATAAGTCTGCCATATGAATCATTGACTGCAACACCTATAAGGAACAATATTCCGTCTATGCAGGAACCACAAACTCCCTTTTCCTTTTAAAGAACAAATTTTTACCTGCAATCGATCTGTCTTGTCCAAGGTTAAAACATTCGAGCCTGAAACCTTCTTAGATTCAACCATTGTTTTCAAATCAGCCAGAATGCTCATATGCTTTGACATATCTGTCGCCAAAACCTTTAAATAAGTAAAATCATTTTGCTAAAAAAAATAAAGTTTTCGATTGCTTTAATTGATAAATAATTCTCGACAGTGAATTTGCCTAAATTAGTTAAATTAAAATCGCCGAGTGATTTATTGCGTTAACCAACATAGTTTCGACTTCTTTCCCTTGGCAGGAATGAATCCAAATTAAAAGAGAAGTCCAAAAGAAAAAGAGAAATCCAAAAATGATCGCATCAAAGAATGGACGAAAATAAATTTTCAAAAAGGTGTTAGCAATGTTTCGTTGGATGAAAAAAGAAGTTAGTTCCATTATGTTGTAAAATATTCATTATTCCTTATTTTTTATATATTTTTTAAACGAAAAAACATAATTAATAAATAACAAATAATAAAAATAATAATTTCAATGAAATAGTTTTCTGATAATAATAATCTAACGATAATAAAAATTATAATAATGATAACGACAACAGTTAATAATAATAATGAATAATAATAATAGTGATAACAATAATAATAATTGAAATTTATAAATAACGAGAATAGAATAATAATTTAATGCATTCTCTAATTTAGCTAATGCTAAGATTCTATTCCTTAGGACTTTTGTGTTCAAAAATTCGAGTGCTGCTGGCGATCCAACGCTACTTCTATAGAATTTTTCGCAGAATTTATTTGGCGACATATTGGCGAAGTGATTCTAACCAAGAACGGCTACCATCTTCGCAAAAAAAAATGAATAAAATATAAAATAAATATAATAAAATATAAAATATAAATAAAAATAATGTAAATATAAAATAATAAAAATAAAATATAAAATAATAAAAATAATATAATGTAAATATAAATATCTATATTACCGCGAAAGATAATATTAATAATTCTTAAAAAATTAGTTTATTTATTAAATTTTGAATAAAAACTTAAATTTAAATTGCAAATTTAAAATAATTATACAATTATTTATTAAATAAATTAATAAAAAAATTAAATAATAAAAAAAACAATTAAATCAAACAAAAATTTATTGAAAAATAATAAATATATAAATATAAATATTATTGATAGTTTCCAAACAAATAAAAATTTCATATATATTTTATTATTAAAATTTAACAAAGAAATTTAATAATGAAATAATGAAATAATGAAATAAAATTAATTATACTTCGCGAAAATTTTGTTTAAAAATTCCCTATGTTTTTATTTCCCTATGTTTTTCAATGGCAAATAAATAATTTGAAGTATTATTTATTAAAAGTATTAATAATTAATAATAGTAGTAATAATAATATTAAAAACAATAAATAATAGCAATAATAGTAAGAAAAAAATGACATTCATGACGTACTTTCCTTTAGAAATTACCATACTTCCTGTGCAAGTAAAATATTTATTATCATTCTGCTGGAATATAAAAAAAGATATATTAACGAATAAAATTTTATTTTCATAAATTATTTATTTTATTGTGAAAATTTCGACGGCAAAATATTTAGAAAAATAAAAAAAAATTCAATGGCCTAGCAGGTGATCATAAATATTACAATAAAACAAATTAAATTAAATATAATAAAATACAAATAATAAAAAGAAATATTACGAACATATGCTACGCCACTCCCTTATTTATCATCTAAATCCATATATTGCTAGGCGCTTATGCACCTAAGCTTTTCCTAAACCACATCGGTCCAGATCCGGTTGATTGGCCTTCCTTAATTTTCATGCCGACTATCACATAATTTAACAGCTATGCGATAGAAGACGAAGAACATGGTCTAATTACAACAAGTGAGACGAAGAACATGGCCTAATTACAACAAGTGACACTTCGTGATCACATTGTAAATGCAGGTGGCATTCATGAATTTGCATCATGCATGAACTTTTATAGAAGCTTCGATCTTATCAGCATCTGATATATATAAAGCAAAATGATGTTAACCTTATTTACACTGATTTAAGAATCGATTTTCCCTGCTTCTACCCAATGTTTGAGCATTTTATGACTTTCTGGACAATAAAATAGCGTAAGAGCCTGCATGCTCTGATAGACTGATAGACACTGATTTCTGCATTATCTGAGTGTTGGCGAGCGGTGTTCACAACTCAGTCTATCGTATACTGAAAATTGTGGGGAACAGAATGTACCCTCGATTGGTTCGTATTACGCTAATTCCCTCATAAAGATATATATATATATATGCGCTGATTAAAATGGTTTGATAAGACTGATTATCTTCTCTGGAACAATAAAATATTCCAACTGCGAGACTTACTTAACTGCAATAATTGCAATATTATCGATCGTATCAAATTTCAGGCATCGATAATCGTAAATTTTAAGGTATAAAAGCTTTCAATTTTAAGGGTATAAAATTTAAAGGGTATAAAAAGGGTATAAAAGGTATAAAATTTTTTCATAAAAATTAGTTTAAATAATATTTTAAATTGTAAAAAAATTTAAAAATTTAAAGTTTAGAAATGAGTAAAGTGATATTTTAAAAAGGAAAAAAAATATAAAATTTAAAAATTCCTAATTTATTTCAAAATGAATTTATAAAATTTCTAAGATTTTTCATTTAAATGATCAAAAATCAAATTTTCATGAAGCATTCCCTCGATTTTTTTTCGAATATTTTTATTGGGCGATCTTTCGCTGTTTGTTAAATATCAGCTGACGCTTTTCATTTCCAAGATTAATGGCTTTTACCAGTAAATAAGAGAGTTCTTCGTATTTTTAATACACCATCAAAAAAAAAATTTTTTTTCTTTCGTTCTGTCATAAATCGAACAACTAAAATAAGCAGGCAAATAAGTAAGTAACTGAAAATAAGCAGGTAAATAAGTAAGTAACTGAAAATAAGCAGGTAAATAAGTAAGTAACTGAAAATAAGCAGGTAAATAAGTAAGTAACTGAAAAATTCCGACTAAGAAATATAACAAAGAATTTGCTATGATAAAAAGTAAAATAATCATATTTTATATTTTAAAAAGATTATTTAAAATATTTATGAAATTAAAAGAATATCTCATAAATAAAGTAACGCTTCCTTCTCTAAAAATCCTTAATATTCAAATTTTCCTATCTTATTATTATTATTATTTTCATAAAACTCAGGTCTCGTTGATTTCGCCCATTACTAAGGTAAACGCCACTGAAAAAGATTATTTATGAAAAAATATTTATGAAAAGAACTACATGGGGTAGAAACAAATGTGAACAAAGGTATACATAGATTCATTCCGCAAAACGGAGAGTATCAATAAATCCTTCCACATATTTGTAAAATTCTATATATATTTGCAGTAGAAAATATTGTTTAAAGTGGAAATTTCGTTAAAGTGGAAACAGTTATGTTTATTATTCATAGAAAAAACTGCTTTTTTTTTTAGGGAAAATATTAAAATATTTATTGAAAAATGAAAATTGCATTTCATGAAAATTGCATAATTTACAGTTAAATAATTCTCGGATAACTTATGAATAATTAATTAGTTTCATTAATGAAAATTCAAATTTGATTTGTATTTTTGTTGTTCCAAGATTTATTTTCAAATTATAAATTTTAAGTTTATTTTAAAATTTAAGATTTCTATAAATTTTAATCTTTTTTTATTAAAAATTTGAATTTTAAAATTTATTATTTTTAATAAATAAATAATTCCTTCACTTTTTTAGTTTATATTTGGAAAATTTTTCAGTTTTTTAAATTTTTTTTGAACATAAAAGTTTTTTCAGTTCGATTAATTGGAATATTTGCATTTTTATAAATTAATGAAGGACAAAGAGGAAAAAAAACAATTAAATGAACAATAAAGACTATTTGTAAATTGTAAAGATGGAACTGTAATTGCAATGTCAAAATCGAAAAAGTCGGCGCAAAATATTTATTAATTTCTCTTCTCCCAACGGCAAATTCATTTCTGGCTTGGCTAGTTTTCCATCGACTAAGGTTGAAACTCTTTCGCCACATAGTCGCTTGGGAAAAGGGGTATCAAATGAGTTTTCTCATCTCAGCAGTCCAATTTCTCTTTTCATTTCAAACTCATTTCACATCAGCGGAAATGAATTGAACAAAGTTTTGACTTGTCTTTGACTAGACAACAACATTTCCAACTTATTAACACTCCTCACACGATAAAAAATATTTTCCAAAAATGCGGTAAAGATATTAGGTAAATTAGTGGATAAAAAGAATAAATAAATGATAAATGACAAATTTGATAAATCAGAAATTCACAAAAAAAATTTTATTATTCAAAAATTGCAAATGATATGAAATATATGAAAAGTATTAAATCATACGTTACTATTATCGTTATTAATACTATTATTTAATACTATTGTTATTATTTATTGCCATTAATAATAATAATAAATATTATTTATTATTATTGTTATTAATAATGAATTTATTTTGCAAATAGAATTTGCTGAAACTTCTGTTCGTTGCAATTTAAAGAAATGAAATATTGAAATAACTTATAAACAATTATATTTTAAAAAAAATTGTAATAAAAACTTTATTTATTTGAAAATCCATTTCTATTATGAACAATTTTTTTATTTAAAAAATATACAAGTTATATTTTTTAATAATAAAAAAGAAAATTAAAATTAATAGAATTAATTTTTTTAAAATAAAATTAAAATAAATTTAAATAATTAAAATAAATAAATAATTAAATAATAAATAATTAAAATAAATAATTTAAATAATTAAAAATTATTAATAAAATAAAAAAGAAATTCCTAAATCCTACCAGGTCAATAGTTAACCTTCGAAATAATTGCCGCTGTTTTTTCGTCAAAGCAATAAGAAAATCACAATTTGAATCCTGTAGTAACTTAAAAGCAACGGCTAAATGATGTTGCTCTAAAACCGATTCATCGTTATACATTATTGCTAATTCGGAATCTAAAATAAGCGCATTATTGTTCTAATTTTTATTATTTTATTATTATTTTTATTGCTTTTTAAAGAGAGATTCATTTTAAAAATTTATTTGCATTATTTAAATTTGGAAAATTTAAATTCAAAAATTAAAAGCAAATAATAATTTCAAAAAAATAATAAAATTTATGAAAAAAATAAATAAACTTCATTAATTTTATAAATTTTCTTTAAAAAAAAAGAAACAAATTAACAAAAATAAATCAAATTGCATCGCTGGAAGTTTATTCCAATTTGCGCGATGCATTATTTCGCAAAAATTTATAAAAATTAAAAAAGAATTACTTGAATTAATAAGAAATTGATTTGTAAAACCGGGATGATCAACGTCATGAATTGCACCGGCAAATAATGCAGCAAGAATTTCTAATTCCGAAAATACATTCTGTAAAATATCCCTTTTCTTTACTTGCAAACGAATATCCTCCTATTTCATTCGAGTATTCTGTTAGTGGTCGATCGCTTCGTCTTTCTGCTTTTCCTTCAGTCCTTTATTTCATTCCTTCATTCTTTCCTCATTTATTTTATTTCCCGCCTTTCCTTCCTTCTTCGTTTTTCTTCATCCCAAACCTCATTTATCAATAATGCAATGGCAAAAAAAAGTACTCGAGAAACGAAAAATGTGAAAATGATGAATAAACAACATATGGCATTATATAACCCAATAATTTATTGTTAGTCCAATGTGAATGTTTTTGCATTTTTTTTATTTTAAATTTTATTTCTTATTTTTTTTAGAGTTAAATAAATAAATGAAGAATAGTTTCAGTTCCTTTTCTATTGACAACATCCAGTGAAAAATATCGCCCTGATTAGGCGATTAGCCTAGTGCGAGAATTGACACATCTCTCGCTAATGGCTGAATCCAGTGTTGGACGAGGAGGACCCATCCAAATCTGCACTGACACAATCAGAAGGGAATATAAAAAGCAGTGGATTCTTTTAATATCAGGCATAGTATCGGAACGAACGTCTTGTCCTTGCAGTCCTAAGCGCAGCTAGCCTAACTAGTGATGGTGAGAGCTAGAAGAAGAGGATGTTATCAGAAGATTATCAGAATTTCTAAAGAAATGACCTGAAGGGCTGGTGATGATAACAAAACATTAATTGATTGCACAACATCTGCAGCATGAATCTGATTATGATATGGATTATCTCTATAATGATGCTCCAAATGTAACAAATATGTTGTTAATGCACCAGCAGGAATCTCGAAAGTCTTCAATAAATTACGATTCTGAAACAATCCATTTCTTTATTTTATTAATGCTTCAGTTAATTTCAATATTTATTGGCTTAATTTAGGCAGTTATTTCGCTTCGAATCAATAAAACTAAATTTCCGCAAATGAAAATAATCCATGGAACTAAAAAAAAAATGCGACAATAACTGACGAAAAAAAGGCATAAAATTTCAACAATCGTTTTTTTTAAAAATTATTTTTATTTTGCCATTTTTCATAATTTGCCAATTTTAAAAAAATAACATTTATCAATTTACTTTGCTTTCTTTTACAAATAAACAAATTATCCAAATAAAACAGCGAAAAATTTAGTTTGTGCTCTTTTACCGACAATATTTGAAGTTATTCAAGTGTAAAATAATAAACAGAAGTTGGAGATGTCTTATGCTCTTATATGCATAAATATGCAAAACAATTATGGCCATACAACAGACAATTATAAGAAGAATAAAATTAAGATAGACTGGCTGCTTTTATAAGAAATGTTGGCCTATCACATGAATAAGTGAATAAGCGAATATTTATAAAAATATATGTAAGTTTTAACAGGTAAATACCGACCTTTAGTATAGTATAAGTAACCGAAGTCAGAGCGTGACCTTTGCTAAGATCGTGAACTTTGAATATATTTAAGCCCCATTCGTCCAACTAAAAAAATCTTCCAAAGTAATCAAATTAAATTTTACATAATTATAATTGAGTGAATGATAAATGTACGATACAGCCAACCAACAAACTTATTAATGAATTTTATTTAGTAGAAATAAAAAAATGCAGAAAAATAACTGATGTTCTTTTAGTTGTGTAAAATTAAAGCAATTAATTATTTCCAATATTTGATAAAGTATGATGTTCACTTTTACCATCTGCATATGTACAGCAAGTTCTTTGTGACCCTCGATGCCATATTCAGGAATGTGACCACCTCGAGGGGAACGAAGCTTTCGCACACCACTAATTCGCGACATCGCTGCCGTTTTCGCCTTACCTAATAAACTCATATGAGTTGTTTCTTCGACTGGCGTTGACGTTGAAGCTAAAGGTTCAGAGGAAGAAAGCTGAAAAAAAAATCTTCCGAATCGATTTAACCATTTAAATAAAAATTTAGGTAAATTTAGGAAATAAATCAAATTATAGAAGAAAAATTCCATATGTAATAAAAGTTCAACCTCAGGTTGAAGTTCATCATCATCTTTATCCATATATGTATGAATAATAAATTGTGAGATCTGCGTTCCAGATTTCGATGATTCGGCGAAATGACTAAGTTCCTTGTTGAGCATTTTGCGAAACTGAAATTATTTATTGTTTATTTTAAAATTCGATCTCGATTTTTAAAAAATATAGAAATATAAAAAACAAAAAATAAAAATTTTTTAAAAAAAAGGTAAACATCGTTAAAATTAGTTTTCTAATCATTTTGTTTTCCCTGTTATTATTATTTTCGTTTTCACATATCAAAAGAAGAATTTTGACATAAATCTGATGATTAGGATTCTAATATTTATGATAATGATGGTGAGATGATGATGATGATGACAAGTGTTAGTGATAAGCGATTGATAAATATAAATAATTCAGCTCATACAGCGTCATCTATTTCTTATTTACTTTGTGCAAATCACTATTTTATAAAAAAAAAAATCATTGAAAATTCATTTCGATGAGAGAAGAAAGAGAACAAAGAACTGATAACAAATGAATTGATATTTTTAACATGCTTATCACTTTTTTACACTTTATTTGTTCACCTTTATATGAACATATTCGTAAATATAAAACTCGAAAAAGAAAATTTAAAAAAAAAATTATTTAAAATAAATCTGAAAGTACAAAAAATAAAAAATCTTTAAAAACAATTTAAAATATTTTACTTTTAATTTTTAATAAAAAGATTTTAATATAAAATAAAAAACAAAAATATTTATTATTTTAACAGTTCCAATAAATCCTAATTAATAAATTTAATTAAACAATTGTTCAAGCAATAAAAAATTAAACAAATCTCATAAATCTCGTTTAATGAATTTTATGAATTTAATTAATCTTATTAAAATGCATTAATAAATGCATAAAAAATAAAAAAACTCATTCATTGCATTCCTTAAAGAAATTATTAATTTAAATTAATAAATAAATAATCTTTAAAGAATTTTTAAAATTTAAATTTAAAAAGGTTTAAAATTTATAAAAACCAATTATTTTAAAATAATTCGCAATGGACAGAAAAATGAATTATATTAAATTCAAAAGTAAAAAATCGTGAAAAATAATATTCATAAATCTTTTTGGACGGACTTTTTCTTTTATTTTTTTTTCTTTAAAATATTAGACTTTTGCTGGAAATTTGTTGAAAAGGAAACTAAAGTATTAGTTTTTTCAAATAATAAATATTTTATTTTTGAACGATGAATAATAATTTATTTCGATTAGCAATATAGAATTATTTTTTGTACCAATTTTTCCAGGCGATTATTGGCCATAAATATATTATTTATTATTATTTATTGTAAAAATAAAAGTAACGATTTCGAATTGAAATTGGCCGATTCAATTATTGGAATAATAATTGAACAAATATGAAATTGAATAATATCGAAAACGACTTTTTTTTTCCAATAATTCGAAATAAATCTTAGAAGATTTGCAGAAGAAGAACGGTTATTGCTCGCAATAAAACTTAATCTTACAATTAATGATAGTTAAATCTGAGCCCGAATGGATTAAACCTAAGCGTAACACTAAATTATCATTGGAATCAACTTAGCTGTGGAATAAACTGGCCAATGTATGCACCATTTTCAATTATTTTTTAAAAAAATTAAATAAATATTAATTATATGCTTAATTTTCATACAGTAAGGCCTTTTCAGTCCTTCAAGGCAATGGCGCATTGCTGGCTTAGCGGCAAAATGATTGCCACCGGGCTCAATCAAGCTTAGCCGAAGCTTAGTCATGTTTCACCGAACGGCAATGCCGCTGAAAGGCGAAATTAAAAAGGATTAGAATGATTCAGTGGGTTGTTGTTCATTTCTGAGCGCCGAGGTTGAGGTCGCCGGCAAGTGTAAAAATCCGATTAGTGCTGGCAGCTCACCCATATTTCTACTGCCGAATGATTCCCTGGCAAAATTTGTCAAGTCCGACAAGCCAGCACAGCGGGCCGAAAGCGCTTTTAGAAAAAAAGCAATTTTATAATTTCATAAATTTATGTTCTTTTACGCAGTTAGCTTTTTGGCCATATTTCTTCTTTTATTTCATATCGATATTTTAAATTTCATTTCGAACGTCACTTCGTCGTTATCAATGTGCAAGCACGTGGCACTTGTCGCCTTATTGGCTCTCACATATTTTGCTCGTTTCCAAATAAAAATAATCATCAAATCGTTAATTTGACCGCAAATCGCTAGTTTAGAAAAATTAATTATATATTTTCGATTAGAATTGATTAAAATCAATCACCTTATTTGAAGCCATTTCAGATACGGAACGATGTGTTTGAATTGTTTCGAGCTGGTCGAGGCACCAATCGAGCTCACTGAGCGTATCTTCGGCGCACTGAGTAACATCATCCGGCAGTGAAATATTATGAAGTGGCGGCCGCTTGGCAACTGGCCGATGGTGACTTTCATTTGGTGATAAATTAGCGATAGCGATGAGATTCGCTCGAACATTACGCAAACTTGCTAAGATTTGTGCAAATGGTGTCACAATAAAATCTTCGCCATGTCTAAAAATTTACTCTTTTAATCATTTCTTTTTAGTTTTTGAAGAATAATTCTAAAAAAAAATAAGAAATAAATTATAAATAAAAAATAATAATAAATAAATTTGTGCATGCAAAATTTTCACACTATATATATGCCATGCATCTAAACATTTAAGTTTTAAATATTTTAATTTTTATTTAAATTTTTTTACAAAAAATTGGAAAATTTTATTAAAATTCCTTTTGAAAAAAATGTTTTTTATAAGAAAATTTATAATTTTTATTTTGTATTTCTGGTAAATTTGATGCATTTTAAAAATTTTTCTTAAACAAATCGAAATTTTTAAAACATAATTTAGAAAACTGCAATTTATTTTACAATCTTTTATTTTGATAATGAAATAATAAGAAATAATATTTAATACAATATTTTAGCATTAAAAAATATTAAGTTTATTATTTATTTTTTATTAAATATTTAGACAAATAAATAATATTTAATAAAATAAATAAAATTTATTATATATATTATATATTTTTAATTTTAGACCATTATTAATAGCTAATATCAGTGGAGTCCACTGCAGCTATGCGATTTAGCAATTTACGATGTTAATTTTGTCGAATCGACATACTCAAACCAGAAATGCATAGCTCGCGAACCGTTTTGAGTTTTTACCGTTTCTATGAACCGTTCCGATTTATAATAATAGAAGAAATGGAGGAAGTAAAAAAGAAGAGCCTCAATACTCAAATATTACTTTATCTAATAACAAACTTTTTGAAACATAAAAATATCTTAAAAACATTTAAAATATATAAAAAGTACAATATTTCAAAATATTATATTCTAATAAATAATTAAAATTAAATAAACAAATATAATTAAAAAATAGAGAAAAATGAGAAAAATTTATTTTTCATTTTTTATTGCGGTATATTCGGCAATTTATAAAAAATTGCGCATTAGTGCCATAAAAAATCGGTAAGTCTTAGTTTTTGCTATAAATTTTCTATTGTTTTTCGCTTTTTTGCCATAAATTTTTTCTATTTTTTTCAAAAAATTAAAAGAAAATCATTTTATTTCTTTAGTTATTCGTTATTTTCAGGAAATTTCGAATCGCTTTATTTGAAAAATTAGCCGAAAACACTTCCTCTTTGGCCAAACATATATTTGTCAAATTCTTATACTGATGGCAGTTCGTTGAAAAATTATCGAACTAACTGGCTTGTTTCTCTTATGCGTATGTATATCAATTGTGTATATGTGTGTATGTTCTGAATGAATGTACGAATGAATATGCGTAGGTATGTGGTGTGTATGTGTATATTATTAATAGTAATAATAATTATAAATATATATATTATATATAATGAAATTTAAAAATCAATGGATGAGAGAGCAATAATAATATTAATACATAATTACAATAAATATATCGAAAAGAAAGCGAGTATATTTAATCACTGATGCCAGTTGAAATAAAACTTTATCACCTTATCACTTAACGTATATTTATTTAAAATAAAATGAAAATTTATCATTTGCCAAATAATTTATCGAGAATAAATATTGATTTGACTTTGTTTTTCTATCTTTTTTTCAACTAATTTTTCGCAAATTTTTAAATAAAAAAGAGTTTAATTTATCGAAAATAAATAAAAAAGAGCTTTTGATTATAATTATGTAAAATTGATCTTATTTTTTAAAAAGTATTCATTTAAAAAAATGAAATTTTTAAATTATTATTTAAATTAATAATTATTATTAATAATTATTGAAAACAATAAAATTATGTGAAAATAAAAAGGCCAAAATGATGTATTTTAAATAAATAAAATAATTTATTTTAAATAAATAAATAAAATAATTAATTTAAATAAAATAATTTATTTTAAATAAATAAAAAAGTAAGAATAAATAAATAAATAAAAAAATCACTTTTGAAATCTAAATAATTTGAAATATTATTTTAAAAATAAAAATTCAGAACTTTTAGAAAAAATGCAAATTTGAACGTGCAAATTGCAAAATTTATTTGTGTTTTATTAATTATTTAATGGTAAATTTAATGCAACTCTGAATTGATTTGACTTTGTTTTTCTATCTTTTTTTCAGCTAATTTTTCGCAAATTTTTTTTTATGAATTTTAATTTATTTAAAGTCAACAATTTTACTTACTTATTTACTTGTTTCTATAACAAAAATAATCCGAATAATTTTTCTTTATTTTATATTATTTTCTATTTATTTTATCTAAAAATTATTCTAAAGAGTTATTTTGTTATTTTATTTGAATAATTCTGAATTATCAATAATTCTAATTAGGAAAATCTTTCTATATAACAAAATAATATGAATAATTCATTGGTAATCAATCACTATAATAGGAACAGTTAATAATATTAGCAATATTTGATAATAATAACAACATTAATAATAAAACAATAATATTAATATCAATAATAATTTATAATAATATAGCAATTTGCAGTAAAAATAATAACAATAATAATAAAAAAAATTGAAAATAAAAATATGCTATGAAACAGTGGAAAGAGAGAGAGAAGAATCGATGGCCAACCAAAGCAGTGCTACTAAATTAATTCATTAACATAAGGCAAAATAAGACAAAAGGAAAAAAAATTAATGGAAAATCATGAAAATAACTGTAAAAAAGGAAAATTAGAAACCTGCTTTAAGTCAAAAAAAGAATAAAATTTAAATTTAAATATTGGAAATTTCATTTAAAAATTTTTCTATTGTTCGCCATTATTTGTAATAATAACTTTCAAAAAAAAAAAATTTAAAAGAAAATATAAATTTATCAGTGATAGAATATTATCAAAAATTATCAGCTTTGATTGAAAAATCAAATGTGGTGAATCGGATTCGTTCCACTGGACTCGATAAAGTGTATTTAAGAAGAATTCATTTGACGGCAGAAGTACAAAAGAGTCGGCCGAGATGAGAACGAATGGTACTTCGAAGTGACAGCAACAAGCCACTCATTTTATTTATTTAATATTTTATATTTATTCGTCTAATAAGATTTTTTTTCTAAGAAAGTATATTTTTTGGTAAAATTTAATAGAATATAAAAATCAAAAAAGAAAATTTGGAAATTTTTTTATTGAAAAAATATTTAAACTAAATTAAAAATATTACAGTTTTAATTTGAAATTTAAATGAATCTCGCATTTTAATAAAAAATGAAAAATCGAATCAGATTTGCGAATCATAAATTCTCTCTTCAATAAATGACATAAGTAAGCGGTTAGCATTCATCATTAGCCCTCTCCCCCCTTCCTCCCCCCCCCCCCCCCCCCCCC